TCTTGTGGCGAGTAGTGGGTTGTTGTGACTAAGGTCACGGGTCTTGTGTGCATAGTGTTTGAGGTAGTGTCGCCTTGAAAGGTGAAAGTGGAATGGGTGGTAAAGTGTCATTTTACGGCTTAGAGGTTGTCATTTGGGAGTGACGGTTTCTACATGGAACGAGGCATAGTGTCCGAAGGGCTATGCTTGTTTCTAGTGTTTGTGTGTCGTGAACATTAGTACTCTTGTATGGTTGGTTTTGGTTAGCAGGGGTATCGCGGTGTATCGTATACGAGGTTTCTGTGTTAATAGTGTATGATGAATCGTTATTGGCAAAGTCGCCTTGAGTTTGTAGTTCCATACGGGTATCCATTTGGTTCTTCTCCTTATGTGTAAGGAGTTTAGTTCATCTCAGGTAAGATTGGGTGTCCATGATTGGACAATTGGTGTGTAGCGTGGGACAAGGTGTCGGGTGCATTCAGGTGCAAGTCTCCAGTCTGTTGTGAGAGTGGGGTTTGTTCCTCTTTCCGTTTGTTTCGTTTGTTCAAGTCCTAGCAAAGACGTCGTTTGTCGTGAGCCTTGTTCTCCATTTAGGAGTTGTGTGTGTCCATGGGTGGACGGACCTGTGTGTAGTTTGTTATGTTATTTGATTTAATCTGTAAAGGTTTGGTTCGTTTGGTCGACTCACTCCCATGAAGGGAGATAAAGTCATTGGTTTTTTGTGGTGCTTGTTTTGAGAGTGGTTTAACGGCACGAGTTGCCGAATAGGGGTGGCATTTCCGGTGTCAGGTTTTATCAGTGATGGCTAGAGGTGTGTTGTGAACTGTAAGTTCGAGGAGGTGATGTGATGTGAGTCATGTACTCGGATGTTTTTATAGTTGTTTGATTCGAGCAGTGTCTTGAGGACGATTGTTGGTGTTGTCTTAGAATTACATGATTAGAGAAGGTGAATGTGTGATTATATTGAGGAATAATAGAATTGATTGGCTTTGGTTTTGAGGTTTCAGGTATACGACAGTCGTATTATGTGTTTTGAAGAGGTAGGAATTGAACCGAATGATGACATGGGGTTGTTTACCTGGCATGGGTGTTGAGAGAAAATTAGAGATCTTATATACTGGTTGATGATTGTGACGTTTAGTGTCGTGTTGTTTTTAGCTTGTTACGGGTTGTATGATTGAGGCATGATTGGGACTTTCAGAGTAGGTATGTGACTGTATAGCTATTAAGGATTATGTAGCACGATGGATTGATAGTGAATGGATCTCATTGTTGTTTTGTGGACTGTGTGAGATTGTATTTGATGTTTGGACCTGAGGATAGGAACGATGTCTATGCTGAGATCGGATTGAGGATGAGAATGGCTTGGCCAATCATTTCTCCTAAATCAGTCCCTCTTTAGCACAATGTCAGGTCAAAGGTTACTGATTATTTGATTTATCAGGAACAGTGAGAATACAGTATTACGCGATGTGTCGGTGTGACAGGGTGGATTCAAATGGTTAGTCTCGGGTGACGAGGTGTGCTAGGTAGGACTAAGTGTCCGATAACGGGTTTGTGGTACAATCACTGATTATTGAGGATCTCGTTTTGAGGATTTGTGTCCAGGATATAGGATAGTACATTTTATTATTCTAGTGACTCATGATTATGTAGTCGTTGGGAAATCTGTTGTTTTGTCTTCTTGAAGTTGTCTAGGGTAATAATTATCGAATAGTGTGGATGGTGGTTGCTTGTACTGATATGTGGTGGTGTAGCTTTGTGTTAAGTGGCGAGTATTGGTCTGATAGAGATGTGTAAATCTAAGTTGAGCTTGATTGTGAGATGGACGGGGTTCCTCGTTTGGAGTCTTGTGTGTTCTTTAGATGATGAGTTGGGCTTAGATGTTGTCATGTTTGGTGGTCAGGTGACCATTCTTCTTTGGACCAATGTCCATTTTGAGTTGAGTATTGTGTAGAGCGTATCAGTTGGTTTTGTGTTACAAAGTTGTGAGAAATGAGTACCCTCATAGGGTGGTGAGCATTGGGTTTCAGTGGCAGTGGTTTTTGATTACTTGGTGACGTCTGGTGTCAAAGGCAATAATGTTGGTGAGTTCATGGTCTTGTGGTTTGGTGTGGTGTTTCTTGGGAAGGTCTGTGGCTATGGGCCTCATTCTTTAAGGAGTTTGGATTTCGAGGATGAAATCTTTTAAGGAGGGTAGATTGTAATATATGTGATTTATATAAATATATATATTTATATTTATATTTAAAGGAAAAGATTTTTAGTGGCATGGGACCCACCACTATACCTTATCAATTAAAATAACCACAAGGTCATTAACTGACCTCAACCTCTCTCTTCTCAGTTCGTTATTCTCTCTTAACCTTGTATCAGTTTATTTTTTTCTTTTTTCTTTTTTTCCTCCATTTAAGCCTAGAATCAAGCCTTACCCTTGAGAATTTCAGCATGCCATTTAAAGCAAGTTGATGAGCGTGTCGAGACCTTTGTTTTGATCGGAGCAATTTCTAGTTTGGAGCACTTTTGAAATTTCAAATTTTGGGTCTAATTTGGGGCTTTTCATCTATTTTGAGGTAGGGGTGTTCTAACCCACAAATTCTTTGATTTCAGTGAGTTATTTCCTTAAATTTGGCCCAAGCATGATTTTATTGTATTAATCTTGTTATAATCATGAGATGATTTATGTGTTGTATGTGCTTTATGTGTTAAGTGGCATGCTAAGATGAGTTGTTATGAAAATATGAGCTTGGTTATTTAAGTTAATTGCTACACTTGTTATGAGACATGATTGTTAAATTGAGAAATTGATGTGGATTATTAAATTACTTTTAAAAGCATGCAAGCATGATGTATATGAAATGGATTTACGCTTTGTATGCTTGGTATAAAAAATAATAATAATAATAAAAAAATAATGTTGAAGGGAAGCATGAATTACATATTTTAGAGATTTAATTTGCAAAGCATGTGTGAAATTCTATGGTTGAATTCATGATTAGGAGCATGAAACATTCATGCATCTATTGGGAAAGGAAAAATGGGAAAAATGTTTTGAAAGCAAATAAAATGATTTTAGAAAAATAATTTTGAAAAGTGTTGCGAAAATCCAGACGCCTAGGAGGCGCCTTGTGATCCGTGATATTAGTGTGATCTAGAGGGGATTAGAGAGAGACTCTAGTGTGGTTAAGCTACCCAGACGACGCCATGGACGAGCCATGTGGTCGGGGAAGACTAGCCAACCCCTCCCTCATGACGCCTTGGAGGTGCTTTGGGTCGGATTACACTAACGGTTTAGAAGTTGAAACGGAAATGTTTCGGAAACGGGGAGTGACATGAGCATGGCATTGCACTTCATTGGCATATATGGTGTATTTGTGACTTGGATGACATTTGTGTTTATATTGGAGGTTGTGGTTATGGTTTACACCCCCGTATAGTATGATCCCGTTCTCTTGTTTTCTATTCTATACGTGGATTCACGAGGTCATAAGAGATGTGTCTTAGATACTTCCTACTGAGCTTATGGTCACCCCTTTATTATTAACATTTTTCAGGACACGGAAGAGAAGTGACGGACGATGCTCCTCCACAGGGTTTGATGGGTTAGTAGATCGTTTTGACATACTTTGTAACTACGATCTCATTTTATTACTATTACTTATTTATTTATTATTATTATTATTATTATCTTATAAATCCTGTGATGACACGTATATTATGTATTGACATAGAAAGGACGGTAGTGCCCTTAGTTGACCTTGGATTCGGGTAAGGACTCGGTTAGCGATTCGGACCATCGGGTTCGGGTCGTTACATAGTCTGGTGCTGACGAAATTTCAAGTAGCTGTAGAACCATAAATGCAAACAGTGTGTGCATTTTTGACCCCAAACTGGGACCCTCGATCATTGATCCACACAGTTCAAATTGATGAGGCATAAATCAAATTTATCAAATGTATTTATAAAATTTTACATATCATTATTTACATTTTTTGTTAATGAAGAAAAGTCCACTCTTATAGGAGGAATGAGAAATTTGGATCCATAAAAGCTTCAAAAAGGACTAAAATGAGTGTCAGTATAGAAAACCATTCAAGTTCTTGAGTTAATATTCATTCATGATAAGTGAAAGTGTGGAACCTAGAAACCGTTCCATTTCACATACATTATTTACTCAGGAGAGGAGCAAGTAATATGATGCTCACTACATCAATGTCATATTTGACCAATTCACAGAAAATGGTGTTCAAAAACATAGATGCACAAAAAGGTAAAAAGCTTCATTAGTAGCACGATTTTTAGATAATACATTCCTTTAGAACTCAAATAGTAACACTTTTGAAGCTCATATAAACCTAGCATACCAAACAATTAGATAAATTACACAAACTGAAAAAAACATATATAAAAGGATTTCTAAAACATACCAACCCAAACACCAGTTTAACCTTCAAGCCGGGAAACTGTGATAGAAAGTGCCGAGGAAAAAGCAAGACTGACCACCTCCTCAAGTGCCCTGAGGTACCAATGGAGATCCATCTTGTAATAACATAGATTGATAATAGGGTACATAACTAGCTACAGAGCAATACATGTGCATAAAAAGTTAGGAAATACAATAAGGTCAGTTGGCATCATAGTCAATTGCTTCACATAGCCAAACAATCTTTTAGTATAATCCAGCATTACCCACAAAATGAGACTATATTCTAAGTAGGCGTTCTTATCCCGAATGAGAGACTTCTAAAATTTGATTTTTGCCATACATTCATGTCACATTTATATTTTGGGCAAGCATATATACCAAATTTCATTATTATCAAATCATCATTCATATTAAAGCTGCAAAATTCCATTTACTCTTTATTCCATAACATTTCTATTCCTTCTGGTTGTCACCTATTAATGTGGCTTTGAAGAAGAAGCTCCAGAGTATACAAATAAACTCTTGATGTTTCTGAAATCGTCATCCTTTAAAACCCACTAAACTGAAAACCAAAAATGATGAGTTTAATATCCAATTACCTGCCTGGTCCATGATATGTAACTTCCCCGTCATGCTCGGTTCGATACACATCGAAAGGTGGATCCTTTATGTCAAAATTCAAGAACTCTTCTGAACTGCCAGTACCCAATGTATAAACAGGTTGGTGTTGTAGAATGATCAAAGTGTCAGACCAATCTTCTTTCCTTTCAATCAATGCCTTCCTCTCTTTGATAATGGACTTTTGACAACACCATGCTTCTCCATATGGAACTACCTCTTTGTACAGATCAAAACACGCACACCTGTAACAAGACAATCTCGAGCTGATCAAGCATTACAGTGTACAGAAGGTGTTTGTTAAAAAGCATGATTTTTCCTTTGTGGGTTATAGAGGTGGACTCTGGTGTTTTGAAATCAGACCGAGACCAATTTGATCTCTTTGAATGCTTTTGAGATAGAAATGTTGGGATTGTCCCCAAATTGAGACTCGCCACAAATGAACTCAACCGAAACTCAGATCCAATGATATGAATGAGTCCTCAAGAGTAAATGAAGATGTACCAGGGAACAAAAAAATTCAAAGAAACACAGTTGTTTCCTTAATGAATGCTATCCAACTCTTTAGTACATTCAAGAGACTGCCACTTCATTTCATCTCACTCTTAGGTCATCTAGCAAATACTCAAACCCCCTTGAATGTACTTTTCAATAGAGACCAAGTTTTGATTTAAGGAATTAAGGAAAGGATATGTACACACGAATTTTGTATCTGTAAAATAAATAACAAAATAAGGAGCAAATAATCAATTTTATTAATATTTAATAAGCGGGTACAATTCTCTGTAATATTCTTTACAAAGAAATAATGTCCTCTGATTCGATCTCCTAAATCTTCGGTGCAAGTGCTTCAATATTTGATGTTGAATCGGCTACAACAAACTTTCTTCAAATTTCCGAAAAATGAAGGAAACTTGAATTGATTTCCGATTGAGAGTCATAGAAGCTTAATCTCAAACGGTTGAATGAAAGACTTTGAATAGGGCGGGCACTTGTAGAACGTGCTTATAGTCTTTTGTATTCAAAGTGTTGAATCTTCAAAACTTAAGTGGTGAATGTATGTAGAATTCAGTAGAGCTTTCTTCTTTTCTCCCTCCCCCCTCCCCCCCCTCGCTTCTATTTATAGACTTCATGAAGGGACAAAATAGTCATTTGAGTCACTTTGGATAATTACCACAATTATTGTGATGTTTCCGATTTTCACCATTTTCCAAATTTCTGGAATTTTGCCTTGTAGGGGCATTTTTGTCTCTTTTGTTTTGCATACCGGACGCCGTGGAGTGTACCGGTTATATCCGAGAGTTGATTGGGGCATTTCATTGAGTCCAGGACTCTTTGAAATATAAGAGTGGTCATTTTTGTATTTTTCTGTTTTTCGGGCCGGATGGTCTCGTGTGGGATCCACTACCAGAATTTTTGCGTACGGGGATTTTTATCGGGTCCATTAGCATTCCAGGCATTTTATTTAATGTATTTTATGTGATTGTAAATTATTATGTGTGTATGTGTATATATGTTTATGTGTGGTGTAAATTAAAATAAAATAAAAAGGAAAAATGAAAAGAAAATGGTGGGGCCCACTCTTCCTTTGTTTTTAATGGTCAAGAGACCATCTCTAATCTCATTTCTCTCCCGCTGCTCTCTCTATTACTCTCAACTTTCATTTTTCTTTTTTTTTCACTTCAAGGTTTCAATCGTTGATTCCTCTCTCAATTCTTGGTGTTTTTAAGTGCCGTTTGCGGCAAATTGAAGCTCACAGCGAGACCTACAAGTTGATAGGAGCAATTCCATGGTTGGTGCACCATAGAAAATTCAAAATCCTAGGGTTTGAGGTGAAAAAAAAATTGGGGGTTTTGCATAAAATTGAAGTATGGGTCTCTAATTTGCATTTTCTTGTTCCTTTGTGAGTCAATCCTTGTTATTTGATGCTAACATGCTTAATTGAAATTAATTACCTCTATAATGATTTTATTGTGGGTATGAAGTTCATGATCATATGTGTAATTGTTGATTTGTATGAAAAGCATGCTTCATTATCAATTTCTTTATGTTATTGCATTGACAAAATTGCTAGAAATGATACATGGAAGCTTATGGAAATTTTCTTAGAATTATTGTAATTTCTTTATGTTATTGTGTTGACAAAATTGCTAAAAATGATACATGGGAGCTTTTGAAAATTTTCTTATAATTATTGTAAAGTATGTTTAATATGTTAATTTTTCCATGCCTATGATGCTTAATAATTTATTGGAAATTTTATGTGGAAGTATGTTAATTGTGTGATAATAATTCTCTCCATTTTCATAATATAAAAAAGACATGTGATATGCATTCATAGCATGGGCATGAAAAAGGGTACAATGATTTGATAAGAATGAAAAAGGGGATTTTTGGGGAGAATTTGATGAAACGGTTTTGAGAAAACCCGGTCGCCGCGGAGTCACCAAAGGCCGGTGTGTTAATATAGCCTAGAGGGAACTAGGGAGATGCCCTAGCGTAGTTGAGCTATTTGGGCCCCAAATGATGCTGCGGAAGTATCAAAGGTCAGGGACAGTAGCCAATCCTTTTCTCGTGTCGCTGCGGAGTCACCAAAGGGTGGGTTATATTAACAGTCTGTAAAGTGATGGAAGTTTTCTGGAAATGGGGAATGACATGCATAACATTGCAATCATGGCACGAGATTTATTTGCCTTGAACTTGGAATTGATATTGTGTTTCCCGGCTTTGCATGACCCCAATTCCTATTGTCCTATTCTCTGTTTGGATTCACAGGGTTTCAAGAGGTGCGTCTTAGGCACTACCAACTGAGCTTTACGCTCACCCCATTATTTAACATTTTTCAGGGCTGGGAAAGGAAATAGTGGATGCCGATCCCTCTCAAGCATGAAGAGAACACTAAAGATCTATTTTGATACCTTTTGTGTTTTGATTAATTTTTGTAAAGTCTCAAATTATGGAAAAGAGTATTAATTTATTTTATCATGACCATGTAACATAACTAAGGTATTTGACTATTTTTGGATGTAAATTGAGACTATGTAAATGCTTAAGTTAAATGGAATGACAATGATGGGCTAACTTGAGCAGGTTGTTGATGTTGTGGTATTGGGGAATGGATTATATTTTTTTTGTATTGTGTTGGGACAGGTTGGATATGTCTTCCAAGAAGGCCATTGATTTTTTTTTTTTAAGCAGGTTGTTGTAGGCCTTTTTTTTTTAGTAGAGGTCATGCTGATTTTTTTTTTTTTTTAAATGGTATCGGTTTAGAGTCGTTACAATTATAATTTGGATAATTATCTATATATATATATATATATAAAGAATAATTATAATTTTATTTAACTAACCTAATCTCCAAGTGGGTCTGGTTAGTTAGCAATTTGAAATTGACCCATTAAAGGGGGTTGGGTCAATTGAGTAGTTTGGGTTGATATATGACCCATGTTTTGTAGTGGGCTTAGATTGCTTAGATAACCGGCCCATATTTCAAAATGGGTTAGATTGATGATAAGCCCAAATTATAGCCTGAACTTATCATGTGAATTTTTTAGTGTCTACAAATTGCCTTCACTTCAAGTCTCAGATTTGCTTATGCTTGCTAGGTACAGAGGGCTGGACTTGAGGAAGAATTTTTTTTTTTTTTTTTGAATAATTAATAACCCCTAATGTACATGGTTTTGTCATGCACGAATTAGTTCGTAATGTCATGTATAGTTTAGTTAAACAATGATTCTAAATCATTTTTAATTTTTATTTATTTATTTATAATAATAATAATTATTATTATTTTTGACAACATTTGTCTTCTTTCAAACACTTATTAATATAATAAAATAAGTGTACATGCAAACTTGGAATGCAATCACTTGAAGACAAAATCATCTTACTAACCAATTGGTTGATTTGCATATAGGAACCGCTAACAACTCCTCAACAAAGTATGCTTGTGATATGAACTTGATTTATCCGAATTTATTTGAAATGTGGCATATCTTTAGATGGATTCTATCTCTTTAGGAGACCTCTCTCTCTCTCTCTCTATATATATATATATATAGCCTCTAGGTGATAAGGGAGAGAACTGCACATACGTCGGAAAAATCTCAGGTATATAAAATGGTTTGCTATCTATTCATGCCCTTCCTTCTTTATATACGTGTATGTATATATGTATATATATATATTTATATATATGGACTTTTACAGTAAAGTGGTCTTAGTGTAAGTATATTATCCATAGCCAAACGTAGTTTGCATATTTACAAATACATGAACCAAGTTCTATTTTAGCCCTTTATTAAGCTGAATTTATATTTTCACCCCTAGGAGTTTACTTTATGCACAATTTACTCAAAGAACAACTTATTCAAATATTAGAATTTTGTCAAACAGCACTTAAGAACTGTTACATAGCGCTAGAATTAGGAGACACAACACGTAGTCTACAAAGAAGAATTGAAGAACTTAGATCTAGAATTCTACTAATACAAAATATTTTAGAAGCTAGACGGCAACGATTTTAGTTTATGAATAGACTTGACTTTAATAATTTAGATACTTCTATAAAATGATTAGGACAAAATCTAGATTATATTAAAGAACAAGTAGTACAGAATTCTAGTCTAAATAATTTAGATAATAAGATAATATTAGTCGCAATTAAAGATATCAATAGTGATATTAAGAATATTGCTAAAAATCAGAAAATAATCATAGACTCTTTAAAATCCCTTAAAACCGATATCCAAAAATTATTACAATAGTTTTATGAGTACCAGTAGTCCTGATTATTTAATCGTGTTAGCTGAACTTTACAAAATTGATAAAGAACCCATAGGATTTACTAGCTTTAAAATAGACGTATACTCAACTAATATTCATATTAGACAAAATAACTTTTTAATCCAGTTATTACTCCAGTTATCTGATAAAGTTAATAAACTTGAAGATAAATTAGAAGTAATACAAGAAAGTATTCCCAGTGAATCTTCTAAAGAATTATCTGAATTATCAGATAAAATAAAAGAAATAAAATTATCAACCAATAACCAGTCCTCTCCTGCAACAGCCAAGCGTGTAAATTTACTACAACCTCAACCTCATAAGCAAATACCACAATGGCTATTATCCTTAGAAAATCCAAAGAAATAATGAGAGTCGAAGATTTATATGATAATGAACATGATGCTAAAAAATATATAGAACAAGGAATGAAGAAGGTAAAAAATAAAGTTAATCTTTA